GCCCTCTCTCTTCCAAGTCCGACAAGTGTGGGGCTGCAGACCTTGCCAATGGGTCACCTTCTTGGCCCAGGGAGCATCTGGTGGCATCTGGGACCCCTCCTCTTTTGCCTTAGTTGACTGCTAGATCGCTTCATACTCTGCTATGGTGTCCCTTAGCCATATCTTAGATGGGCTGCCTTGGATGTTTTCAGTAATCTACAGACCCAACTCTACCCCCGATCTGACCACTCTATGGCAAGAAATCGATGATGTTGCAGTGCATCCTCCCTCTCGCTGGTGCATTAGTGGTGACTTCAATGTCACCAGGTGGTCCCACGAACGAATTTGTCACCTAAATCACACCGGCATTTGCTGACTTCATCCGGGGTACCAGATACACTTGATCGAACAACTCTTCTCGCTTCAAACTAGACTGATTCTCATGCTCCCCTAACTGGGACACCAACTTCCCTCTCACCTAGGGGACCCAAGCCTTTTCAGTTTGAGTTGTGCTCTGGAGAGGGATATCCACAAACCTATTCTTTTAGAGACCAACCCCATACCTAGGGGACCCAAGCCTTTCAGTTCGCGCTGTACGGGATGGAAGAACTTAATTTCAGTGCTAACTTGAAGTCCTGTGGTCTTCCTATTCACCCCTGGCCCACTGGTGGGTTTGTTTGAGACTCCAAACGAAGCTCACCCTTCTTAAGTCACCTCTCAAAAGTCTTTTGCCGGGAACTTCCATGATCAAAAGTCTCTGATTCTTGACTCTATCCTCCATCTTGACACCCTGGAAGATACCCACTCCCTGTCACCTGATGAATCTCTTCTCCGTCAACAACTCAAAGGTGACTTCCAGTCCATCCTTAGGAAAGAGGAAATGCATTGGGTGCAAAGGTCCAAGGTCAAATGGCTTAGCTACGGGGACCTTAATAGGATTGCCAACTGTAGAAGAAGGAACAATTCAATAGGCCAAATCCAACACAACGGGTACCATTATATATGAACCTATTGCTATAGAAGAAACAATTATAGAATATTTCAAACAGCTCTTCAAAGCCCCATCCTGGTCCAAACCACAAATGCACGACCTTTCTTTCCAAACTTCATCCTTCGATCAGGCGCAGTGGCTGGAAAGGCCCTTCCTTGAATCAGAGATTCTATTAGCAATCAAGGATCTATGCCAAGACCATGCCCTGGGGCCTAATGGATTCCTAGTGACCATCATCAATCGTCACTGGGATATTATGCGCCTCGACTTTTTAGCCTTTTTCTCCGAATTCTATGAACGGGGCATTATTCTCAAAGGGATGAATGCTAACTTCATCGCGCTCATACCCAAGATCAAAGGGGCAGTTGAATTAAAGACTTCTGACCTATTAGCCTAACCAAAAGTCCCTACAAGATTTTGGCCAAGGCGCTGGCCTCTAGGCTTAAAGTTGTTCTAAGTTCGGTTATCTCCGCTAATCAAAGTGCCTTTGTCAAAGATCACCAGCTCCTTGATGGTGCTCTAGTAGCACATGAATGCATTCTAGAATGTCTTCCAAAAACCCTGGCTTCATCGTCAAATTGGACAGGGAAAAGGCATAGAATCATGTCGATTGGGATGTACTCAAAGAAACCAAAAGAAGGATGGGCTTCGGTGCTAGGTGGAGAAATGGATCTGGGGTTGTATCCGAGGTCCTTTTTTCACGATCCTAGTCAACGGCTCCCCTAGAGATTCTTGGGTCCTTCAGAGGCCTAAGACAAGGCGACCCCTTATCCCCTTTTCTTTTTGCAATTGCAGCAGAAGTCTTCAGCAGAACCATCGCCAGAATATACCAAGTAGGCTTGGCTAAGGGTTTTCAGATTGATGCATAGGGCCCGACAGTGTCGCATCTCCAATATGCTGACGACACCCTTCTGTTTTGTGAAGCAGATATCAGGCAAGTCAACAACTTGCTCTTCTTCCTACGATGCTTCCATTTCGCAACTGGGTTCAAGGTTAACCTACAGAAATCGAAAATGAGTGGTATCCTCATAGACCCTAAAGTCCTCCAATCCTTCACCAACAGTTGGGCTTGCAGCATCGACTCTCTACCATCGACCTACCTCGGTCTGCTTTTCTGTTACGGCGAACTCAAAAAGGCCCATTGGAGTCATATAATAAATAAGGTTAAAGAAAACTGGCTTCTTGGAAGGGGAGGTTTCTTTACCCGGCCGGCAGACTAACCCTCATCAAAGTAGTTCTTTCAGGGGTCGCTATCTTCCAGATGTCCATGTTCCACATTCCGGCATCAGTGCGCTCTCGCCTAGAGCAACTGGTGCGGAACTTCCTTGGGTCCGGAGACGGAGTGACCAAAAAATACCATCTTTTCTCCTAGAACACGGTCTGCCAACCCAAACCTGAGGGGGATTTGGGGATTCGGAGCCTGAAAATCCAAAACCTAGCTGTCCTATGTAAATGGTGGTGGAGACTAGCCACCCAGGCTGGGAACCTTTCGCATCCCATTCTTCAATACAAATACTGTCTTTCTTCTGCACCCTGGTTTATCCCCGAGACCCCACTCGATTCTGTGTCTGGTTTCTTAAGATCTATTTCCCACTTTCTCCAGCTTTTCAAATCCCACATTATATTTCACCCCAGGATCAGTTCAAGGGTTAGGTTCTTGGCTAGATCATTGGTTGGGAGACTCCTCCCTTTCATCTCAATTCCCTATTTCGTTCTGACTTGCCAGGAACCCCCTTGCCTCAGTTGAGGAAATTTTAACCACTGAGGGATGAGGAAATTCCCTCCTTTATCAACTTCTCCGCCCTCTTATTCCTTCCCTTTCCTCTCTCAAGGGGAGGACAGCATCATTTGGACCCCAGACCCTTTGGGGATCTTTATGGTCTCCTCTCTATTCCATGTTCTTCACCTAACCCTCCTGGGAGCCTCAGCCTCCCAACTCTTGGATTGCCCTGTGGGGTAGAGTTCTGACCATGGATCAACTTCAAGAAAAGAGGAGTCTAGATCTCGAACAGATGCGTCATGTGTCTCTTGGAGGAGGAAACGAATGACAATTTATTCATTGACTGCCCTCTGGCTGCAAACCTATGGGCCGATACTCTTTCAACCTTTGATTGGGTATGGGTCACTCCTCGCTCGGTCCCCAACCTCCTCAAGCTCTCAGCTTTTCTCCCCTGCGCCAAATCTGGAGCTTTGCTTTGGAAAGCCACTGTGGTGGCGACCTATTGGACGATTTGGAAGGAGCGCAACAGGATCTTCCAAGGCCTTGTTGCCCCCATCCACAAGATCAAAGACTTGATCAGGGGCCTAGTCATCTTCTGGGCCGCTAATCATAGACATTTCAAAGGTCTACCTTCCCATGACCTCCATCTCAACTGGACCAATGTCCTTTCCTTCAAACCCAGGAAGGTTTCTCGCTCAGCCCTATGGAGACCCCCCGACATGAGCAGCATCAAACTAAACTTTGATGGCTCATCGTTAGGAAATCCTGGCCCGACAGGAATAGGTGGAATCTTTCGCAATCATGAGGGTGTTTCCATCCTCTCCTTCGCCTCCTCTATTGAGACGTGAGATTCTACCGAGGCTGTGGCCCAAGCCCTGCTTGAAGGATTGAGGCTGTTCGACCCCTCCTTGGCGTCCCCCTCATCATCAAAGGGTACTCCAAAAATTTGATTCTTGGGCTTCTCACGAGTCCCATCCACTTTGAAGACTATGTCACATCTTTGCTGAAATTTATGACGAACTAGCTAAACAAGGAGCAACATCAAGGCTATAGCAGATTCTAGTTGTCTTTTGGGTTTTGCTTGGTTGGGTTGTGGTTTTAGTTATCCCGGGTGTTTCTCACCCTTCTTTCTTTTGTTGTTGTATTAGTATTATGGATGTTCCATCTTTTTTGGTTTGTCACCTCTCGGTGACTTTTATCCATGGGCATTTTGTAAACTGTATGTGTTCTCTTTTCCATCAATGTTAACATTATAAAAAAAAAAATCTTCTTTTCGACTAACCGGTCACACATCAACGAGGCTACTGACTCCTTGAGGTTATTCACCCTTTCCACCATCTAGTCCAGATCATAATCACCATAAACATGACCACGTTTGCCACCATGACCAGCCACCACGATTGAACTAACACACAACCTTGGCTCTGATACCAAATGGTGCAGCTAAACTATGGAGATTGCAACTTAGTGAGAGAAACAATCAGGTCGGCTCAGGGTTGCCGAGACCCAAACCCGACCCGACCCTACCTGACTAGGTTTTACCCAGACCCAAGTTGGGCTCCAAGTCATTTGGACCTAGACCCGGGTCTAGTAATTAAGAAGATAAAAAAAAAAAAACTATTTTATATATTGTGTGTTTGACATATTTATATATTTTATACTAGGATGGGTTGGTTCGGGTCGGACTCGACCTGACCAGAGTCAAGTGCAAGTCATTTGGACCTGGACCCGGTTCAGGTTGACCCACCTGTTTCGGGGTTTGACCGACCTGATTGCCACCCTTACAGTTTTGGCTTCCCATGGTTTATGTTACTAATGCACACATTTGTATGTGTCTTGTAATGTATGAGATTGCATTTTGAGTTGTAATGGTACATGCAGTGTTTGATGAGTTTTATGAGAATTGTAAGTTGCTGAATTTTTACATATGCACAAATTATTTGTATGTAAGCAATCTCATTGTGTCCAAATGAATGTAAATCATGTTGGGGATGTTTGGAGGTGTTTTTTATCCTCTTTTTGTTGCTGCAAATCAGGGACTGGAGTGATTAAGCCTGCAAATGTTGAAAATTGTCAAAAATAGGTTCCGGCCTCTATGGGCATGGGGGCTCTCTCGAGACCCAGGCAATAACATTTTTGGAATCCCCATTTTGGAGGCCTACGCAACTTTTTCATATTAGTGAGATAAACCGTGTAGATGATGACTCACACTGACACGGAATCTTTTATGGCATGCCTGATGATTCTGTACTAACTGTTCATTTCATTACCCTATAGGAGCAATTTAACATTTTATCACTTTATTTGAAGGTGGTGCTCGGTCCCTTGCGGTGTTTGATCATGATATAGGTAGTGCTTCTATTTCACCTCTAATTTTGACGGGGGGAAAAGGTGGAGATGTTGGATTGCATGACTTTCGTTTCATCGCAACAGGACGGACTAAGCGGAATAGACATTCCAAAGGGCATTCAAACCCGTCCTCTCCACATGGCATGCAATCTGGAGCATCAAAGAAGTCTGGCAAAGTAAATCAGAATGGGATGCTTTGGTATATACCAAAGGCACACCTAGGTACGTTATTTTGTATCGTCTTTAAGTTTGAAATGATAATATTATTTAATATATGCTTTTATGTCTTGTAGGAAGTGTTACAAGGATATCGACCATTCCGAATACTAGCTTGTTCCTGACTGGAAGTAAAGATGGAGATGTTAAACTCTGGGATGCCAAAAATACTGAGCTTGTTTTCCATTGGCAGAGAGTTCATGATAAGCACACTTTTCTACAGCCTAATTCTAGAGGTTTTGGTGGAGTAGTACGGGTAATGTCTCTCGTTTCCACTCTACTCTCAAGCAGTTGTGAGAGCTTGTGTAATGGAATATAAGTTCAATGTTTTTATTAGGTATCAAAAACCATGCACGCCATCATGAAGTTGACTTTTCTCAGGAACAAAAAAAAAACATTGTACACCATCATGTGTGGGACAGGACGATGTAGAGGAATCAACTCTTGGCAGAACATGGTTTCTTTTCTTTCAGTTCCTTTTGTTACATGGTAGATTTGTGCAATATATTTTCTTTGATAACAAACAAAAGAACATTGTCCACAATTTTCTCATGTATCAGATATTTTGTTGCAGGCTGCTGTCACAGATATCCAGATCCTACCAAATGGTTTTCTTACATGTGGCGGAGATGGTGTTGTTAGGCTATTCCAACTCCAGGATGCCCAATCAAATTCTTAAGCATATCCATTTTACTTGAATTAAAAGCTGAATTAAATTAAGAGCCAAACCCAGTGAATCACAAATGGTACAGTATCAAAGAGAGTTAGTACCTCCTCTAGTAAAGGAAAGCAGCTCCCTACCGAATTGAGCAAGCAAATAGTTTTACACTGTACGGCACCAGTGGTTCACTAATTGCTGTCATATCATGTTCAATACCTTATGATGGGGAGCCCTTGAAACACTTTTGAGTGGTAACCGTTGAATTACCATGCGCCATCCATGGTCTTGACCAGCGGCCCCTCGTGAATGCTCACCCCAACTTAACTATGTCTGTTCGTGTGGCATACATGATAGTCATTGTACATAATGGAAAGCTGGTGTAATAAAAATGTTTCCCTAACTTGTCGAAACCAGCTTGCCATATTGCGAATATGTTTCATCCCTTGTTTTATGCTGGGGGTTTATTTCTTGATATCTATTTATTCTTTGTTTTACCTCTTGTTCTATGATAGTGACATTGTAAGAGCTTTTTTTTTTTTTCACTTTCTTAATTTCGGTTATCCCTAGGGTGGTTTCATATTAGCAATACAAGCCCCTCCATTCTTGGAAATTATTTGAAGTATGGAGTGGTTCGAAATTCGCAACTTGGAAATGCTCTATACTTTTGTATGGAGCAGTTTAATGCTTATTAATATGAACCGCTCCACACTTCAAAAAAATTTCAAAATATGGAGTAGTTCAATATTAGAACAGACCGCTTATTAGCAAATATGGAACCGCACTACCAAAAAAACAAGAAAGAAAAAAGCAAGCAATCAGCAGGGCAGTGTTGCTAACATCGTGTTGCTCCATGTTTTTTTTTAGTATGAAGCAATTGAATATAAATAACATCGCACCACTCAAATATTTTTAGGAATGGTTCAAAGCTGCTCCCTAGTACAGAGCAGTTTTGAGGCTACTAAGGTCGAACCGCTCTATACTTAAAAACAATTATTTAAGTATAAAGCAGGTTTGATATCTCCAAATTTTTTTTTTTTTAAAAAAAAATGTTGATACTAACTAAAGTAAATATTTTGATAGGGGTACCCTATTAAAATAAGTAAAGCCCACCTTAAAATTCGTTGAAAATTACAGTTCAAGCATAAAAAATAAACCTTCAAATCGATCATTCTAGTAGTAAAAAGAAAACTAGGATTTCTATTCTCAAAAGAAGTATATATTGTAACACATATGTAACACATATGTCTACACTATCTATATTGGCCCTAAAAAAAACCATTCATGGATCCACAGTATCCACACCATTAAAAATTAATTTTAGTGCCATCATGAAGATTTTTGATGCCCGCATACTTGCTAGCAGCGAATTCAACTTAAGGCTTTTACTTTGTTTTCATAAAACCTAGGCTTTATAGAAAGTACATCTTATTACTAATATGAACACCTGGCAAAACTGGAATAAAGTAAAACGAAAACAAAGAATTGGAGAAAATGATAAACACCGTGTCCGATCTATACATAAAATTTTCATAATAATGAAGATGTCTCGCGATATAGTAGGGAACTCGACACCGATGATATCCTAATGAGCTACATGGCTAGTTTGGTGTTGCGCATCAATGAGAGCAGCAAATGGAAAAAGATGTTTTTGGAATGTACTAATGGAATATTAACTCATGATAGTGCCAATTTTCAAGCTTGCCAGCACGGTGGGTTTCTTTCACATCACACACACTCTCTTTGAGAATAAAAATTGCACTCTCTCTCTCTCTCTCTGCAAGGTGCACTCCAATCTTATTCCTCCAAATGGAACCTGGTATGTCTCACTCCCCTTGAAATTATGGCACTCTTTTTCACCAACGAACTACGCATGACCTCATTACTTCACCCTTCTTCCTCCAAAGAAATTGGGAGGGAGGGAGATGGGCAGGCTGAACAATAACCAAACCACTTCTTGAGAGGGAGAAACATTAGTAGTGAATATGTTCCCCTCGTAACAAGTGTAGATCTTGTTTGCCATTGCCAATATACACTTCCATGTGTTGTGGTAGCACCCATGGGTGGAACCTCGCTATGAGGTACAGTCTACTCCGTGGCCTCTATGACAACGCCTTCCACCTCCTGTCCTGCATGCGTCGCACAGGGACTCCCCCCGATCACTTCACATACCCCCCACTCCTCAAACATGCTGTGGCCTCCTTCTCACTCACCCCCCAGCTCCATGCCTCCATCCTCACCCTCGGCCTCCTCCACAATCTCCACACTGCCAATGCCCTTGTCTCCGCCTACGCCAAGTACGGATGTCTCCAATCCTCCCTCAGGTTGTTTGAAGAAATGCCCCATAGGAACACCGTCACCTGGAACTCAGCCATCACGGCATGCCTACACAACAGCCATCCTCACAGGGCCATGTGGTACTTCTCTCATATGACAATGTCGTCCCTGTCAAAGCCTGACCGAATGACTGTAACAACTATTCTTAGCGCTCAAGGCTGCCTCCAAATGGTCGCTAGGGGCAGGGAGGTTCATGCTTACATCCTCAGACAAGGATTAATCCATCAAAATCAAAATCAGAATGGCCTGACAAATCAGCTCATCGAGAATGCATTGATTGATATGTATGCAAAATCATCAGATGTAGAGTCTGCCAAGAGAGTTTTTGAGTGCATGGCTGCAAGAGACCTGGCCTCATGGACGGCTATGATATCAGGGCTCATGCAAAATGGGCTCCCAGCCCTTGCCTTGAGGATCTTCCACTCCATGTTGAAGGAAGGCATTACACCCGATGATTCCGTCTCCATTGCCTCTGTTCTCCCAGCCATAACAGGTGCAGGTACTCTGCAGCAGGGGAGGGAAATCCACGGGTATACCATCAGAAATGGGTTGAAGAACCCATTTGTAGCAACTGCATTGCTCGACATGTACTCCAAGTTTGGCTGCATTACCCTCTCGGAGATTTTGTTTCATGAGCTTTTGTTCCACGAAAGGAACAAGAACAAGAGCAGCAGTGTGGTGTCATGGAGTGCGATGATCATGGCCTATGCCAAGCACGGTTACACAGATGATGCCCTAAATCTCTTCCATAGGATGGTTGAGGAGACACGAATAAAGCCCAACCACAAAACCTTGATGGCCATTCTCACTGCCTGCAGTCATGGGGGTGGGGGCAGTGACCTGGTGGACGAAGCCAAGAAGTGGTTCCAATGCATGAGGGACAAATACCAAGTGAGCCCAGACATGTATCATTATGCAGCTATGGTGCACCTGCTGGGGAGAGCAGGACAACTGGAAGAGGCCATGGCATTTATTAGGGAGATGCCCATCGAACCTGGGCCGGCAGTGTGGGGAGCTCTGTTGGGATCTTGCAGACTGCATCATGATGTGGAGTTGGGAGAAAGGGTAGCCCAAGTACTTTCCAATGTGGAACCAGATAATCCTGGGAACTATGTGCTGCTGTCCAACATGCTGGCGGAGAGAGGGAGATGGGAGGATGTGGTGAAGGTGAGGGAGTTGATGAGAGACACAGGATTGCAGAAGAAGCCAGGTTTCAGTTTTGTTGATGTTTGAGAAATTCAATGGTCGGCATACAGTTTGTGTACACATAAAAGGGGAAATATGCCTCATTCTTTGGGCTATACACATTATGAAGAGGTAACATTTTATTCTCTTCAGAAAACGAATGGCAAAATGTCTTTGCATATTAATATGACATGCTAGAATGCATAAATATGCCCTTACAGGTGCAGAGTTTTGTCCTGAGATCCAAAACAACATGCATATATAGAAAGAGTGTAATTGTTTGCGAAGCGAGCATCCATGTATAGGAGATCAAGAGAGAGTAGTATCCACACATAAGAGATCAACAGGGAATCTGTATGCAAATGAGGGAGTGCTGCCCCATAAATTTTGGGAGCACAGATGATCTGAAAATTTTCAGATAAAATTATCCGCCTGTATTTTTAGGGTTCGACCATGCGCTGCAGGTGGGCGGGCCAACCACCCACACGCATCCTTTATGAATATTCATATGATTTATAATTCGTCTATTTTACATGTTTAAATAAAAAGATTGTATACAATGAGACCATTTACCTTTGATACAAGGCTACCTTTGATACAAGGCTGTCACAATTATTCACAACCATCCGATGTGAAATCTAATAGCTTGGGTGTCACATAGTTCAATAAAATTTATTTTGAAGCTTGATCTTGATCAATGGAATAAATGAAACCATCTAATTTCACATCGATGGTCAAGATTAATTGTGACCATCTTGTACCAAAGATAATGATCTCATTGTATACTTTCCTTAAATAAATAGCTCAATTCATGTAAAGCTTTTTTGATACACCCTGGTGGCACCCGTTTGTGGGCAGCTTATTTTTTGGGCGGAACCTGTCTGTGGGTATCCTGCCCCCTCTCCTCTCACTTTCTGTTCAATACAGTCAACATATTCAAAAAAAATTACTATGAACTATGCCTTTCCAGGTTGTTTAAGATGACTCAGCCATAGGCCGCTTGAAAACAGAAAATTTCTGTTCTCTATTATCTCTCTGCCTAATCCGTCTCCTTTGCTCTCTCATAAACTTCAAATTCAAATCGAACTATCTTTTCTTTGCCAAAAACTCCTTCAGATCAATTCAGACCTATACCCCTCTCGACCTCACCACTCTTATCACCCCTTCTCTCCATGCCAAAAAAACGATGATGGGCAAAGACCTTTTTCACGAAGCAAATGGGAGTCACGAGCTTTGGCAGCTGCATCCGAAACTGGCACTTCCATGGACAGTTGAGTGCCCCCACAACAACTGAATAAATCAACTATAGCACCAGGCAGTAGTTAATATCTATAAGAAAGGCCAGGGAACTGGTAGAGGAATTCCAAAGAAATCACCTGTTGCATCCCGTCTTCATAGCAAGATAAACCTTCACCTCAGCACACAGACATATCAGCTCATGCTTTGGACCAGTAGCAGCCCAATCCTTGGTGACATTGACAAGACACTCAGATGAGGATTCCATCATAACAGAAGCTCTCATTGAGAAGGATGCTGCTTTTGGGGGTTGATAAAATGGTATATTTGCAGCGATGTATCGCAACTGATCAGAACCCCCAAACTGACATAAATCCAAAAAGTTGTGTTGGACTGATTCTCCCAAAACCATTTGGAGCCAGACTCCTTTGCCTTCATTCGGTGAAACGTTGAATAGACTGATTTGGTAGGTGATAGCCACAGGCAGTCCAGGAATGAAGGGGATTGGATTTTCAGAATCGTTGTCCAGTATGTGCATATCGGCTCTGATGTGTTTCATGATTCCACTGAAGGGAATAGGTCTGAGAGAGAATAATTCAAGCAGCTTATTTACAGGGAAGGGGCAAGAAGAAACTACAGCTTGCTCTTTCTCACTTCCTTGACAAAATGCCAGTTTGAGTTCTCGCATGAAATGAGATACTTCTGAGGGCCCATCATGAAGCTGTGCAACATAAGATACTGTTTCCTGCAATCTGCTCAAGGTAAGATGGGTAAAAGATCCACCACTTGACAGCCTTAAAACATAACTCAGCAGTATAAGCTCTAAAAGATGGAGTTCTTCTTCTCTAGTTAAACCCAGAAAGCAGTATCTCATTCTTTTTAAAATTGAGTCCAACTCCCCTAATGAAATATCGACCGTATGTTTTCCTTCGGCATGAAGCTTGCTCGCTGACAAACATGTCCATATTTGAGCTAGCAGCATTACAGCCTCCACGTATTGAGAAGCAAAGACCAACACATCAATGATAGATTCAGAGGAGCCACAGCTCGTCATCTGCAGCTCTTCCTGGCAGGTTCTGCCATAAATCAAATCAAGCACATCAAAGAAAAGGTTTTATGTGAAACACATTAATACAAATAGTAACTTCAAAATGAACATGAGACATGAAACAACGATTGAATTAATCCATATCACTGAGATGGAAAGACAAGAACCAAGACACATACCTCAGTATCTTCAATGCTTTATTGAGAGACCTTGCTTGGATCAAAGGCCACGTTCCAACCACTGTATCCAGCACATGTTTTACCACCCTAGTTGCTTCTTCAGGCTCAAAAGCCCTTGTATCTCGGATTCCCTTTGCAATAGATACCATATGCTGAAGATCCAATACTGTCTTTTGAAATTGAACTTCAGATTTTACAACCTTGGTTTCTGCCAGCAAATTCTCTCTCTTGTCATCCATAGATATATCATGCAGTATGCCAGCATCCTCTGCGTGCACCGTGTCCAACGCTACAGAGCACATCACAATGTGTTCCATACACTTCAAACACCCAGAAAGTACTTCTTGGTATATACCATCTTCTAAGGAAGAGATTTTACCAAGGAGACTAAGCCCATAGGAGAAAATCTTGGTTGGAAATTCTAGAATCCTTTCATTTGAGAGAGGAACTGTGACAATCAAAACAAAAAGTGCTGCTACATGTGGTTTATCTAGTTTCAGTTCTCCTTCACAAGATGGTTCTATCTGACATAATCAAGGACAGGAAATTTTTAATCATACGAAACTATAATAATATTATTGTTCTTGCATCAAGTGAACATTAACCACGAAACATTTATACATCACAGGAGTCAAAATTTACTTGAAACACACGTAAACGTCAGGCATGGGCAGTGAACATATGTCCCACCAAACTATAGAGAGCATAACTGGAAAAATATGCAAGTGCAACTTCTCTTTCTCAGTATGATAGATGGTGTACATATAAAGGAACAGACCTCAAATGAAGCTAGTGTGCTTAGAAGTATTGCTTTAAGCCCCATAACAAGTCAATTTAAACCAAAGTTCAGTCATAATTCTGCAGTATGGCTAACCTCTGTGCAATTCAATAGTACAAAATGTTTTAAACCAGTCACTGCTAATATAGAAAGAGAAAATTGGGGAGTATTTAAGAGTTATTTCAAAGCAAAGAAAGAAAAAAAAAGGAAGAAAGGGGGGGGGGGAGGAGAAAAACAGAAAAAGGAATAATTTATACATGTTCTTTTACCCTTCTTCCTCACTTCCCTTTCTCTTTCTTCTCTGTCCTCTCTCTCGCTTCTTCGCTACCCACTATTCTTCCCGGTCCTTTAATCTCTTGCACCCTTTTGCCTTCTCAGTCGGCTATTCTCGCCCCTCTACTCTTGAGATTTCTCTATCCTAGCATGCCATAGGGGGGGCCTGACCCTCTTTATCCCGTTCTATTCCTTTAAAAAAAAAAGGAGAAAAATACAGGATAAAAAGGGCCGTAACCCAGTGCTGGTCCCGCCAACGCACGGTCCTGGGAGGGGTGAGCTGAAAACGGTCCTATTCTTTGGCTTTTTTATGCACAAAGTCACCGCTCTCAGGACTCGAACCCGCGCTCTTGCACTGGCTACCCGAGCCTTTTACCGTCACAGCAAGTGACGGGCCCAGAAAATACGGGATAAAGTAGACTGAAAATACAAGAAAATAAAAAAGGAAAAAAAAAGAAAAAAGGAGGAAAATATCTTTAAAAAAGGAAAAAAGGGAAAATATAAAATAAAGTGAAAAAGAAAATAAAATAAAAAAAAGGGGCTCAACTTTTTTTTTTATATATATAAATATGTTAGCTGTTGTAGTAAGTGAAGGAAAGTAAGTACATGAATATGGAGAGTATGGGCACCTTACAGAACAGGGGCCCTGCACAAAAACTACAAAGGTGCAAATAATGTGGGCCCTTATGAGGCAACCGAAAAATGATATACAATAACTGAGATATACAAAATTGGGTCCTCCATGCTCAGAAAAGTGATAGCGAATCAGTGAACTCTTTCAAAAACGAAAAGGTGCTAGCGAGTCCCCAGAAGGTCGTGTAGAGTGCTTGTCGACTATGTGGCTCCATCACTCACAAGGGACTCAGCAACGATGTTGGTTTCCCACTAGATATACATCCATGAGACGTGAGTAGCCCTACAAAGTTGGAAAATCTTGTCAAACATATGTTCAAACCTCCATGGGCAGGGGAAAGAACCGGATCCCCAAGCTATCACATTTTTGGAGCCCCCTCAATAACCAGGTTTGGGCTCCAAGAGGGTTGAAGGCTTTAAGGCCTTCGAGAAGGGATGTGGCCTCAGCAGTGTTTGAATCAATGAAGCCAATAGGTCGAGAGTAGATATCTCTGGGGTCCTTTGATGTCTGTGGGTCCCGGATTGCCCAAGGAACACCCCTCAAAATTCAGCTTGATCTAGTCAAGATTCGATCGAGAGTTATATGGATTATGGAATGCGTTTGACGACCCTACCTTGAATCAAGATTTCATTTTTACAGAGAAGAAAGCCACAAGAACATCTTGAGCCTCATAAACTTTAGAACCCATATTGTATGTCTCTTATCAGAAGGTTTCTCGAATTTTAAAGTGATTGTGTTGACTGTTGAACTTATGGTCATTATATACAAAAGACAAGTATTCCTCAATTGTGATTTGACTTCATTATTATAAAAACAAAATAGGCTTATGTTTACGCCATGGTCTTACTTCTAATTGTATGTGTTGAAGTTACCAATTATATTTTAAATTTAAAGTAAAGGCCATCCAAGATGCACAAATAAAATAATGAAACCCTGCAGCCACAAGAAGCATTTGAAGGAAGATTTCTACTCCAATTGACATGGAATCAAGATTTAATCCTAGCTAGAATCCAGATTCTATATATTTGGGAACATCCACCTACAATTAATGGGTTCAAGTTTTCAAAGACGTGTTGGATTGAGATTCCAAAATTAAGGAATCCAGTTTTCTTGGTTTCGATAAATAGTTTCTAAAGATGTGCTGAATCGAGATTCCGAAATTAAAGAATCGAGTTTCCTTGGTTCCGAAAATAAGGTTTCTCAAGATGTGTCGAATCAGAATTATGAAATTAAGGAATCGAGTTTCCTTAGTTCCGAAAAATGGTTTTCGCGGAGATTCCCAAACGAAAATGCGAAATCGGGTTTCGAAACCGAAAACGCGAGGTAGGTGGGGAGATTCCGGCAACTATGGTTTAGAGGCCAAGACTTTGGAGAGCAACTTGTAGGAGCTAACAAAACTAATAATTAAAAATCATTGAGCTCCGATGCTCCTTCGACTTTGGAGATCAAGGCGATGAACATGGCGTTCATGGCCTTGTGCATAACCCCTCTAACACGGAATTCTTCAAAAAAGGATAAGACATCCCCTTTGAGAGTGTCCCAAAAAATTCTAAACAGGGCCACGAAGTAGCCATCCGGCCCAGGGGCACATTCTTGGTTGTGATCCTTGATGGCTTTGAGGATTTTATCCGTGAAGAAGGATCGTTCAAGCCAATTAGCTTGTTCATGGGGAATAGAGCGAAAGTAGAGATTTGCCATTGTAGGTCGAGGACCGGAGGGTTTTGAGTAAACAGATTTTCAAAGAAGTCAATAATGGCTCACTCCACTGGAGGGGTCTGATCCAGATCTAGTTCGCCCACTTTGAAGTGGAGTTAGTGTTATCCCTCCAAAGACAACGATTTTTTGGAAGAAGGTAGTGTTTAGGTTCGGTAATATTAACATTCCTAAGGTGTGACAGTCTATCCTTAACAAAATTGAAATTTCTTCTATATATTGCACAAGACTGTCTGATTTTCCATTAAGAAATTTTGAAAAAATTTCTTCTATATATTGCACAAGACTGTCTGATTTTCCATTAAGAAATTTTCAAACTTGTACAAAGTCTACTCATAACTTATATTAACATGAAGGTCTATATGTATACAATTTTGGTAGAACAAAAGTTACAAAGACGAATTTTAATCATGACTACAAACTTCCTCCAGCTACTCCTGCTGTACAGACGAACAATAAGGTCACAATTACTCTGAAAAGAATTCAAAATAGTTTGATGAGTTTGGCTACTCAGTAAGTGACCATCATAATTCTTAAAACTCATGGTTGGAAAATGTAGTTATTTTATAAAAGAGTGTATATTGAAACAATATGAGGAAGAGAACTGTCAAAATAGAAATATACAATTTTACATAATCCAAAAAGATCATATTGAAACAATGAGGAAGTGCCTATATAAATCATTTAACAAAAATGCACAGTTTAACATAATTCAAAATATTTCACAAATACCCTACTGGCGTCCCAAGTAAGTCACCTATATACCCCATCAACGTCTTGGATGGGTCCACTTAATCCCTACTGGCGTACCAAGTAGGTCTACTCATACCTCACCGACGTACCGGATGAGTCCACTTAATCCCTACCGGCGTACCAGATAGGTCCACATATACCTCACCGACGTACCGGTAAGTCCACTTAATCCTTACCGGTGTACCGGATAGGTCCATTTAAACCTCACCGACATACTGGATGAGTCCACTTAATCCTTACCGACCTACCGAATAGGTCCACTTGCATACTTAAAGTATCTTTGAAACTCTTTATCATTAAACTTCAGGAAACAACAAAATCGTATATACAAAATATCCTTGAAATCATTACCATGAATTAGTTTTCAAATAACTATTTTATAGTATATTCAAAATATCCTTGAAATCATTACCATTAATTAGTTTTCAAATAATTATTTTATATGAAAATAAGTTCACTTACACAAACTTACAGTGTCTAAAATTTATAATGATAGACGAAAATATTACAATTTAATGCAGAAATACCAGTTTTCAAATAACTATTTTACAAGAAAATAAAGTACCTTACACATAAAACTTACAATATTTAAAATTCATAATGATAGACAGAAATATTACAATTAAATGCAGAAATACCAGTTTTCAAATAACTATTTTATAAGAAAATAAGGTCACTTACACATAAAACTTACAGTATTTAAAATTCATAATGATAGACAGAAATATTACAATTAAATGCAAAAATACCAATTTTCATATAACTATTTTACAAGAAAATAAGGTCACTTACACATAAAACTTACAGTATTTAAAATTCATAATGATAGATGAAACTATTACAATTAAATGCAGAAATACCAATTTTCAAATAGTTATTTTACGCTTACACATAAAACTTACAGTGTCTAAAATTAATAATGATAGATGGTAATATTATAATCAATCGCATAAATACCAGTTTTCAAATAACTATTTTATATGAAAATGAGGTCACTTACCGTTAAAACTTACAGTATCTAAAATTCATAATGATAAACGGTCACTTACACAAAACTTACAGTGTCTAACATTCATAATGATAGACGGTCACTTACATATACGTTACTCTGAGATGGAGATGTTGTTACCGTTGCCAGAGTAAGATCGGGACTAATGGTGTCTAGCTAAAGGTATGGGAAGAGAGACTAAATGAGTTTTTGTATAGGGTGAGGGAGCATGGACGTATTACAAGAAAGAAAAGATATTATACAAGAGAAAAGAGCATCAGAGAGAAAACCATTTGTTATGAGAGGACATTATGAAAACATGATTATGAGAACAATATTATTTTTTTATGAGAATATTATGAGAGAATCACTATGAGAACATCAT